GTGATAGAATGCATTGTGAAGGGTGTTCCTAACTTGATCTGATAGTAGAATACTATGGACAATTCCTATATTATACAGAATGAGCTTGATAAGTTCAAAAATTTTTTCCAAACATAACATTTTCCAGTTCATCATGTCTGGTAGAATTTAGTAGAAATTGCTTCCAAAAAGGATTTGAAGGTAAATTCTATAGTTTTCGTGAGTTACAATATTGTCATTGCTAATATTTTTGTTTATGTCATCATTGATATTTGCCAAGAAGTCTTGACATTAATGTGATGGATTTCCTTTTAATATTCAAATAATTTTGGTGGTGTCTTTTTACTTAAAATTCCATTTGACTTAAGTCACCTATACATAGCACAGAAAAAACCCTATAGGGACCTATTGGTTTACTGCTTTACTCGATGCTGTCTTCAGGGAAGAGTGAAACAATACAAAAAAAATAGCTAGGAATCACAAGTGTCATAGGATTTCACTAGCTCTATAGCTCTTGCTCTCAAGCTACAAATCTTTGAAGACTATATTGAGTTCTAGATAATATAAAATGTGGATTTGTGTTCAATGAATTGGCTTACTATGTCAGATGGCTCTGGCTTTGACAGGAGATCCTTTCCTATAAAAAAAAAATAAAAACTGAGCTGCTACACTAAATTTTCATGCATCTAGATCTTCTAAGAGGTCAGTTCACACAAAACTCTTGAAATCTCTGTCTTTCTCAGTGTCAAAACATATGAGATATAAAATATCCCAATCTCTGAAGTTATTATCTGGAACCAAATAGAACAAATATAGTTTTGACCAAATGTCTATGAGTGAAGAACCTCAGCTCACCAGATGTTTATTTGATGGACTAGTTCAGCTTTTAAAAAGATGGAAAAACATCAGTGAAAAAGTTGAATGAGGAAAGTAGGCTACGGTTTTGGATTAGGTCAAGTTCAGATCAACTTCCTTACTATGAGAAATTAAAAATTTTAAATCAATATTATAATAGTTGTGGTCAATATTTATTGGGCTTACCATGTCCATTCAGATCCAGCATAGAAGCCACATCTTACCTGCTCACTACAGGAGGAAACAGAAAGTGTGCTGACCAGGGCAGCAAGAAGTGGGAAAACAGTGCCATAGATCAGACAATTCATGAATATTTTTTAATACATTTGATTTGAATATTTTTGAATGATCAATATATGCATATTGTGCATTAACTATGGGCCAGATGTTATAATGAATGTCTCACATACATAATCTGGTTTTATATTTATATCAGCCCCAGGAGTAAGGAGCTCTTACTAGCTTCCACTTACAGATTATGACTCTGAAGTATTGTAAGCTACTCGGTCATCTACTTCATAAACAGGAAAATGGACTAATACATTATTCTTAAAATTATCAAATGTAAGACAAAATAAAAAAAACCTCTTATAATTAACAGTCATTAATCAGAATATCCTAATCTCTGAGAATTTCTTTTAATCAATATTTTGCCCATCCTGTAGTATATTACTCAAATGATAGAGATGCATTTAAAATCTAATTATTTTAAATAGTATTGCTCCAATCAGCATTAGAATGTTTCAGTTGTGGCATTAATTTTTGGTTATCATCTGCCAAGGCTTTAAATCTCATGGCTTAATAAAATGAGTACCTGCCCCCACTTGTTGAGGGTAAATTAATTCATTCAATATTCACTATGTATTAGTGTGGTGCTACATATAAGGGGATACAATTGTGGGGTGCAGACTCACCTTCAGTAGAACTTACAAGATTGTAAGAAAAATCTTGTTTTAATTCGCTTACAATAAAAATCAACTGCTACAAATATCTATTTTTTAATCTTGTGCAGTTGTAGCTAGAGTTTTCCTGCCTGGCCCACAGTCAGGACAAATCTCTGTCACCCGCCAGTCCCACAGCAGCTCAGACCCGACCAAGTAAACGCAGAGACTTACATTGGTTACAAACTGTATGGCCGTGGCAGGCTTCTTGATAACTGTTCTTATAGCTTAAATTAATCCATTTCCATTAATCTATACCTTGCCACATGGCTCGTGGCTTACCGGCATCTTCACATGCTGTTTCTCATCGTGGCAGCTAGCAGTGTCTCTCTCACTCAGCCTTCCACTTCCCAGCTTTATTCTCCGCCTTGTCCCGCCTACACTTCCTGCCTAGCCAATGGCCAATCAGTGTTTTATTTATTGACTAATTAGCAACACATTTGCCATACAGAACATCCCACAGCACTTCCCCCTTTTTTTTTTCCAAAAGGAAGGTTTTAACCTTAACAAAGTAAAATTACATATAATTTGGGAATTTGGGCATAGCTTCTCTTACTACTTCCTGCTGGAGGGGGGCGCTGTATCTTATGGGGACACAAAGAAAATTTTAGGATTATGGAATAGTCCGTGAGGCTGTATCGTCTGAGCCAGTTGCCTTGAAACCATTCTGGATGTTGGATCATCTGGGCCATGTTGTCATCGGAGACCTTTCAGGGGGTCTTGGCTGGTCAAACCTGATGTATCTTAATCTGGAACAAATCCATAGCCTTTGACTTTCTGTGGGAACAAAAGCAGAGACTCTTTTCCAAAGCAACATATCCTTATATCCAAATTTTGAAGTCAAGGTATCTTTAAAATATACATTTTGGCATAACTCAACAGCTTTTGCAATCAAATGTTTTTCTGCAGTTAAAAATCCCAAAGACAACACAATCCAGATTCTCTGTGTAATATTCATCTTTATGTGGCTTAATTTTTATATTAATTTTACTGTCTCTTTAAAGACTTTATTTTTTAAAACTATGTATTTGTTTATATAACTGTATATATCACCTTTTTTTCTCTTTCAAGCCTACATATATTTTACACACATTGTAAACTATTACATCTGAATCTGTCTTATTGTGAATCTATTGCTTTAAACTGCAGCAGCTGTGGCTGCTGGCTCCGCCCACCTCAGCTTCCCAACATGGCGGTGGTTTACCGCCAGCTCTGGGAGCTATCGTGGGTCTATGCTTTTATCCAAGCAGCATGTAGCCCAGAAACCTCTTTTTTGTTGTTTTGTACTAGCAAAGTCTAAATCCACCATGCAGCTAAATATGCCACTTGCAGAGGCCTCATTCCCACCATACTGCAGGTCGAGCACGCATGCTAGGAACCCACAAGTAGCTCAAACCTTCAGCTGCTGCTCATTTGAGAGAGACAATTAGGAAGCTGTTTTTAGCTCCGTTTTATGCAGTGTTATCACTCATTCTACACATTATAAGACCAGGGGTAAGAGAGATTATATGGTTTGCCAATCTGATCTAGCTAGTAAAGGAAACCAAAGATTTGCATTCTCAATGTGTTGTGCTTTTTCCCCTGTACAAGCATTCTGTTTTCCTTGGAACTTGATCTTATCAGATGGATAATGCAGAAGGAAATGCTAAGAAAGTTTTGGAGTTGTACATTATCACTTTGGAGTGATTGCAGACCCACATCACTGTGTCTACTTTGTTGTTTGGTTTTAGTTCTAGTCATAACACATAATTAATGGGATGTAGATAGGATGTAAGTGAATAGTTGACTTAAGGAAAAGAAGCAAGTTTGATTATTTCATGTAGTTACTTACATGTTGTAAATGAATATTTGACAAGTCTCAGAGGACACTTTGGAGTTGTTCCTAGTGGAGTCTAGTTAGTTGCTAGGGAAAAAGTATTACCTTTTACATGGTCTGAAAACATTAATAAAAGGATAATTCTTAGGAACCATAACATGAAAGTGTTTTGCTCAGCATTCGTGTTACTGAGATTTGACTGACATTTACCTATCTTCCAAACATTTATTGATGTTTTGTAACATTGTCTCAAGAATTGTACTGTTGTGGGTCATAGAAAATTTAGAAGTTAAAAAAATGAACTATATCAGACCAACTTGATTTCACTTTTGATAGGAAATAATGGATAAAAGGCTTGGAAGAAATATATTTACTTTGAGCTTTCACAAAGCTTTTCTTTCCGTATTTCATGACATTTTAATTGACTCACTGGAAATCCCATGTGCTGCTGCCAGAGTAAGAACTTAGCTTTATTCTCCTCTTTAGGTGTGCCTAACCTGTGGCTTGTGGGCCACTAGCTAGGAATGCAGCGTAATACAGAATTATCAATTTACTTAAAACTTTAAGGGTTTTTTGTGATCTTTCCTATAACTAATGATAGTATTCCTTCTTAGTGTCAAAGATTCTGACCCATCGCTATGACTTAGAGAGGACCTTTTGACATTCTGTGTGGTGCAGCAATGAATAGGTAAATTTCCATTCTTCTGACAGCAGTTGACCATGATGAGGGAAAGGCCAGCAAACCTGGCATATGAGCCCCCATTATTCTGGCAAGTAAATAACTCCCCACAGTGTCCCCATCTTTCTTTTCTTTTCTCATTTGTCATGAGCTTACAGTTTTTGTTCTTAGAGACCTTTGTGTTATCACTGGAGATGATTGACACCAGAAGTATCTAGTGCTTGTATCTGCATCAGTTCAACAAACCTCATAACAAAATAATAGAGAAGGTGTGTTATGGGGTAATTCAAAAATTCAAAGCTAACCTTTTTCAAAGAAAAGTAGGCCCTGCTATAGAAATATCATTTTTTGTTTGAGATGAAGTCTTACTACATAGTCTAGCTTGGCAACAAACTTCTGTACTTACACGACCCCCATAGCTTCCTGAGTAGCTGGGTCTATAGGCACAAACCACTGCACCCAGATAGTCCTGTCATTTTAATGGAAGAAGTATAGAAAAAAAGTGGGAGCATTCCTACAAACGACAGAGTCACCATCTTATATTTTAATTCTGAACTTGTCAACAAATCTGCAGAAATTAGAGGGCAACTGTCTTGGAGGATTTATCTTTTTACACCAAGACTCTGTTAAGACTTACATTTTTTTTCCACTAGCGGCTCATATAATAAAGTCTGGGGATGATCCCAGTCCTTAATGGAGACTGGACTTTGGCTTTCTTTTTCTTCTTTAGGATTGAACCAGCTGCCATTTGACCCTGCCAACAACAACGAACCCCTGCAGTTTGGTAGTGCCACTGGCCCTCTGGTCGCAGATGGCCTCATTGAGAATGGAGGGGATTCAAGCAAGAAAAGAAAGAGAACAAATACTCCTGCAGGTAAGCTAGGTGATAATGCACTGTCTTAAATCAGTGCTATTGAGCCAATTTCCCCCATAGCCTGGTAGGTTGTGGGCACTATGCTAGGCAATGTAGGAACTTAGGAACTGCAGAAACAAGTCAGAGGCCCTTGCCCTTTTCATCTGATGGACAGGTCACATATACGAATAACTGGTATTATCACGAGTGCTGTGGCGAATTTGTGCAAGGGAGAAAAGCAGAAATGAGGGAGATTTTGATTGACCTTTAGAGATTATGGAGCACTTCATAGCACATGTGATATTTATAGCAGATCCTCAAAGAATAGGTAGATTTGAAGCAGGAAGAATAAAGAATTTTGATTTTTATAGAAAAGGAATTGTGTGAGTGACTGTTTCACTAGCCACTTGTCTTTTTATGAACATGAAGCAGGATACCCTCGCTTTAACTCTAAATCAGATGATTGCATATATTTCAATCTCTCCAATTCCCAATACTTCTGCAGTGTGTATCATGTCCACATGTCTACTGTTACTTTGATACAGTATTTCACTGTGTAGCCCAAGCTGGCCTCAAAATTATATCTTCCTGCCTTGGTGACTGAGTTGTATGATTAGAGGTTTCACTACCATAGCAAGCCTCACATATCTTTTATGCCCTTAGCATTAATTAGACTACCCGAGAAACAGATTCTCCAAACTCCCCTAAAACAGCACAATGAATTCTTAGCATTCCCTGCAATCTTTTCCTCATTCCTCCTGCCTCATTGGCATATTCTCATCTTTAATTTCTCTAAACACAATGAGAAAACAATAAGAAAACCAAATGTTAACTGATCATTTGATATTCAGGTTTCATCATTTAGGTCATACATCAACCTGAGATATTGGGGTAGGCCTAATTAGACATGTTCATAGGTTTGTTTTTATTTTTCATTATTACTTTTATTTTCAGCTTGCAAAACCAAGTATGTTTAGAACATAGTATCATTTTCTGTCTCTTAGATCATAGTGAAGATACTTGCTAAATATATGTTTGGAAAATAAAAGTACAGTATAAATACTGCCTATATGGAACCCTTAACAAAGGACAGAGTTCTTTTTTGTTCAGTTTGGAAAGGTAAGGTGGATAGCCCAGGAGGTGTCTTAAGTTCTAACCCTGGAGATCTTCCCACCTCTCTCCCCCTGACACTCTCTCTCTCTCTCTCTCTCTCTCTCTCTCTCTCTCTCTCTCTCTCTCTCTCTCTCTCTCTCTCTCTCTCTCTCACCTTAGAGTTCGTTAGCCTCTGAGTTTCCCTTTTCTTCATGTGAAGCAGAAATGAAATCCCTTCTTCAAGGGATTGTTAGGCAAAGTAGTTGAAATGATGTAGGCAGTATTTAGCACCACATCCATGCACAATAACCACTTAATTAATTGCTATTCTTTTCTTATTATATGATATGATCCTCATCTTTTTAAGCATCAATACATTTTACTTTTCAAGGTTATCTATTGTAGGCACAAAGTATGCCTGTCTTTGTGTATGTGTGCTTGTGAACTTATTTGTCTTTTAAAGCCATGTTCAACATACTTCAGCTTTGATCATTTAGGGGGGTCATTGGTTATTGATTGCACTTTAATATTCTATTACAATTTTCAGAGTTTACTAGGGAAGGTTATACAACTTTACCTCTATACGAACTTGTCCTAGGTTATGTTGGTGTTCTGGTTATTACAGATACATTTTATACAAGGTCTGTTACTTTTCTGCAGCCTGCAGTCGCTTTTTCCTCTCAGTGTTCTTTTTTAAAATATTTATTTATTTATTTTACATCTGGACCACAATTTCCTCTCCTTCCTCTCCTCCCATTCCCTCCCTCACATCCTCTACATATTCTTTAGCAGTTCTTCTCCTCTTTCCAATTAGTTAATTAACTTTGAAACTAACAAACAAAAAGTCCTTAAAAAAAAACCTATCCAGCTTTCTAAGTTCATTTCTCACACGTGTATGTTAAATAAGGGCCAAATTGGCTGTCAGTAGAACCTGCCATGGAGAGCATACTCATGATTTATACCATCAACTTTAAAACATCGTTTTTGGCTGCTCTGAGGCTTTTGGATCACTGATTCGTTTTTGCACTGTAATCCTAAGTGATGGGCTAGTTTCAGGCAATACTGTTCTAACTGTGGTTAACTCATGGGGGGGGGAAGAAGGGGTATGTATTAATTTGAATTGTGAACCAGCTTTAAAGAATTGACATTTCATTTCTAATGAGCATTTTCAATGAAAGCCAAGTTAACTGTTGCAGATAAAGGATTTTAACAGTAGATTACACTAATCTATAATTAGCAGAATCAATTTCCATTCAAATAATGAATATTCTGAAGTTCCTTAAAAACAGTGTGTTCTTTAAAATAGGTGGAATAAGCTCCTAGAAGGCTAAATTAACTTCCTTGAAATCCTGTTCACACTATTTGCTTGGTGAGCCCTTTCTTTGTTAAGTAGCACAAAGGTAACACCAACCTGGTTAAATGACCACAAATTTGAAATTAATGTAGTCTAAATTAATGAGGTTTTGCTATAGAAGGAGTCTCATAATTGTTCAACTGGTAACACTGTGATATTGCAAATGCATGGATTGCTTCATAATATGATTTCTTTCTTGTACAGTACTAGACAAAAGGAAGAGGGAAGATGGTTTGTGAATAGGAACTTCTCTCTTTTGTCACCATTTACTAGAACACAGCAAAAAGGGAAGATGGAGTTTGATGTTCTTGTAGAAGCTACGAGACATTTCAGTTCTGAGCCACTGCATGTCTATCTGTTATCATCTCTTGATCATAGTTATGAGTCAAAGCTGACTCTTTGTCCTTCAGTGAAATTGAAGTAAAGCTGAAAAGAAACTTCAGCTGCAGTCCCTCATTATACCTCTTCTTTCCTTTCTTTCTCATTCCAACTGTGTTGCCCCCTTTCAACAAACTGCTTGTCTCCTTTTGGAATAAAGCTAATTTCTTGAAGGTTACTGATGGTTTCTGATGTTGTTTTATTCTCTCAAAGGTTGCTATGGTTTGTCCCCTCAAAGGTTTTTATGTTAGAAGCTTGGTACCAAATATGGCACTGTTGACATGATGAAATCTTTAAGAGCTGGGCCCTCATGACAGATATTTAGGTCATGAGAGCTCTCTCCCTGGTAAATGGATCAATGCTGGTCTCTGAGTGGGTTTGGTCTTGCAGGAATAGATTGATTTCTACAAGGCTACATTTTTATAGAAGGGTATGTCTGGCCTCTTCCTGCTCTCTTGCTTTCTTGCTGGCACATGCGCCCCTTCTCCACATGGCTGATTCATTTTCTCTCTCTCTGAAGTGTAATAATATAGTCTGATGGGGGCACAGTGCAGTTTGGACTTTCCAACCACCAGAATTAGAAACCAAATAAACATTTTGACAAAGTACCCAGCCTTGAATATTTCATCATTATGATACAAAATGGATGGAGACAACCTCAACCTTTTTTGAAGTTAATGTACTTCGGGCAGTTTTTGAAGGACATTTCTTAATGTATTTATGTACATAAAACTCAGATATGTATATTTAATCCCATTTGGTGGCAAGTTCATTGACTTTTAGTTTTTGCCATTTGGTAATGTGAGCCACAGTTTTGCGATACAGGAGTCTGGCTCCCCAGTGACAATGAGTCTTATCTTATCTGTCACTGTAATTTGTACTGATAGCTTCTACCAGCGTATTCAGGGTGCCTTTGTCTTCCAACTTATGTGAAAGCAACAGTTGGTTGTGTCTTTCTCTGAACCAGCCATCCTAGCCTGGCCTTCTCCTTGATGATGCAGCAGGGTTGTGATACAAGGGAGACCTGGTTCTCCACCAAGAGAGTGACAATATAGACCCCTGCTTGAAGGACAGGAGGTCTCTTAGTAAGGGGACCCCTTTGCCAGAAGCTTTTTTTCCCCAGCCCATGTCAACAGCTTCTACATTTCTTCTGCTTTGTGCCTGGCCTCCTCTTGTAGGCAAGATTAAACAATGCCTAGGTGAACTGGTAATCACAAGAGGATAGGGATAAGGAAGCTAGTATTTGACGAATCAGGTGAGGTCCCTTAGGGGCTGGATGTACTGTCCCAATTCTAAAGTTCTCTGGCCTTTTCTCAAACAGAGGATTCAGCACCACTTTGGCATCTTGCTTTATGATAGCAAAAGCTGGGGCCAGCTTCTTCCCATTGGTCCTTATTACTTTTGCTTGACTGAGAGGAGAGCCTTCAGACAAATTGTAACCACCTTAATCTCTTATTTAATTTGATGCAATGAAAAAAAAATCTTCTTTGAATTGCCTCTTCTTTTATGTTCCTTAGCTCCCATTTGCTAAGAAATCCACACATTCTTTGTACCTTTTTTCTTCCTTCATCTTGAGTGTATTATTGTACATATTTATAGAAAAGAAATAAAGGTTAAATAAACTTACCCAAGGCTGAACATGCAGTAAGTGGCTTATGGAGCACTCCGACTCCAAAGCCTATTTCTAACTACTATGCTGTAGTTACTATGTCTGTGTAATAGGAACTCAGACTCGTTATTAAAGCATATATTAAACATCAGTGGCAGACTAGGGAAAGCTATATTTGAAAGTAAATAGTACAGAATAAGATGAGCAGAGCTTGAGTTTCATCATTTCAAGCAATCTCTTCAAATTTTGAGATGATTATAATTCATTCTTTACAGTTTTCTTTCCTGCTGCTCCCCAAAACAAATCTTCTATTTCAGCCAAGCTAATGAGCTGTACTTCTTCAAAGGCACTACCTTACCCACTCCATTCATTCACTTACATAGCCTCACTGGTCCTTAAAGGTCAAATTCAGTTCCTTAAGAGAGCACACTTCTCAAGCAGCCATAAAGGTCTTGTGAAAAGAAAACCTGTCCCTCATGACCGTCATTGTCTCATTAGCAGGTGAATGTCTTAAGTGCCCAAGAGAAACTTAATGGGTGGAGTTTTGGGGTTCAATGTTCACCAGTGTCAGTGAAGTAGATTAGCAAC